AATTAACAAGTGACTTAGTGGCCTCTACAGTTACACATTTACGTATTTTACCTATATTTCTGATATTAAAATAGCACAATTTACAAATATTATTTACTTGAGTTCCCATAAGCATAAAACTATCAAAGATTGTGCCAATATTACGAGCAGAATAAGATGAAAATATAACAAACCAGCGGCTGCCAGGCAGGATACGCTCACATTTTCGAGAGATGGATAGAGAACAAGCTAAGAAGAAAGTGATTTTTCCTACAATCAAGGGCCATAATTCAGGAAATTACAATTCGATATGCGCAAATATCAAAAGGAACCGAGATCTTTGTGTTATAAACTTACATTTCAAAGTTTCAACAAAATCGGAGAAAAATTGTGATTTCTATAGGGTCCACAACCTTGATATACCATATTTTTACGCTATTTGAGAACGAACAGCGGCCATTTTGTCTGTCAATTTTGGGCCGATTTTCACGAAATTCGAACTCAGCCATCCTTAGTGTGTAACGGTGATATAATAATATGTTTTTTTTTAAATCGGATAAAAATTATGACCTCTATAGGGTCCACAAGCTAAAAACGCGATTTTTCGTACAATCAGGGGCCATAATTCAGGAAGTTACGGTTTGATATGCGTGAATATCGAAAGGAACCGAGATCTTTGGGTTATAAACTTAAATTTTAAGTTTCAACAAACTCGGATAAAAATTGTGACCTCTATAGGGTCCACAACCTTGATATACCATATTTTTACGCTAATTGAGAACGAACGGCGGCCATTTTGTCTGTCAATTTTGGGCCGATTTTCATGAAATTCGAACTCATTCAACCTTAGGGTGTAACGGTGATATAATAATACGGTTTTTTAAATCGGATAAAAATTATGACCTCTATAGGGTCTACAAGCTAAAAACGCGATTTTTCGTAGAATCAGGGGCCATAATTCTGGAAGTTACGGTCCGATATGCGCGAATATCGAAAGGAACCGAGATCTTTGGGTTATAAACTTACATTTCAAGTTTCAACAAAATCGGATAAAAATTGTGACCTCTATAGGGTCCACAACCTTGATATACCATATTTTTACGCTATTTGAGTACGAACGGCGGCCATTTTGTCTGTCAATTTTGGGCCGATTTTCACGAAATTCGAACTCAGCCATCCTTAGTGTGTAACGGTGATATAATAATATGTTTTTTTAAATCGGATAAAAATTATGTCCTCTATAGGGTCCACAAGATAAAAATTGTGACCTCTATAGGGTCCACAACCTTGATATACCATATTTTTACGCTATTTGAGTACGAACGGCGGCCATTTTGTCTGTCAATTTTGGGCCGATTTTCACGAAATTCGAACTCAGCCATCCTTAGTGTGTAACGGTGATATAATAATATGTTTTTTTAAATCGGATAAAAATTATGTCCTCTATAGGGTCCACAAGCTAAAAACGTGATTTTTTTGTACAATCAGGGGCCATAATTCAGGAAGTTATGGTCCGATATGCGCCAATATCGAAAGGAACCGAGATCTTTGGGTTATCAACTTACATTTCAAGTTTCAACAAAATCGGATAAAAATTGTGACCTCTATAGTGTCCACAAGCTAAAAACGTGATTTTTCCTACAAACAGGGGTCATAATCCATGAAGTTTCGATCCGATACATGCCAATATCGAAAGCAGCCGAGATATTTTGGAGATAAACCTATATTTCAAGTTTCGTCAAAATCGGATAAGAATTGTGACCTGTAGAGTGTCCACAAACAATTGTGGACGGACGGACGGACGTCCAGACGTCCGGACGGACAGGGGCGACGGCATAATACGTCCACATGAAAATGTGGGAGTATAATATTCGGTTTTATCATCATTCAATTTTAGAAAGTTCTTTGACATCCATTTTCTAATTTCACTAATACAGTTCTCAAGTTGCAATTTTGATAAATTGAAAGAAGATGCACAATTAGGTGTAAATGAAATATATAACTGAGTATCATCGGCATACAAATGAAAGCTGAGACCATATTTTCTGACAATATCACCTAATGGTGACGTATAGAGGGTAAATAAAATCGGATCAGAACAGAACCTTGGGAAACCCCTGATGACAAAACAGATTCAGACGACGATTTACAATTAACTAAAATACACTGTTTTCTACCCACAAGATAGTCCTTTTGTTCACTTGTCATCCATTATTGTTTAAAAAATTTCCTCCGATTCGAGAATATTAATAAATAATCATTTATTCAGAAAACTAATACTTATGGTAACAATACTCACCAGAAATTTATTTAGTTAACGATTTCACGCTCTACTGGCGTCGGTTCCACATAGTGATCGAGCGGTAGGCCCCAATAATGCCGCTTTCTCAATTGGTACCGCTTTTTCCAATTTCTCCCGCACGCGCCTGACTAGTGATATGTTCGGATTAAATCACGTTTGTTTAAATACTCAAGTTATTTTTGCATACTGACACAAGTAAGGAATACTAACCAATTAACTTAAATACTCACCTTATGATTATTACTGATCATTTATAGGAATACTGTCGTACGGTGCAAGTACTGTCGGGTTTAAGCGACTACTGACAAGTATATTTTTTACGAGTTTCCAAGAATAGTAACCACAATTAATCTTTTCTACTCTTTTGAAGGAGGCCAGTTAGTCAATACCCAGAGCTCCGTTCTACACACTATGCATATAGCAGTGTAACTTACCGCTAAGAAATTTTTGGACATCTATATGATCGTATTGATCCAATCTATATGTCCATTGGAATCAAATATAATGTTAAACGAATAATAAATATAACTCACTTCATAAAAAAATATTTTGCCAAATGAAATTACTTCCGGTGATAATGAAAATATTAATGTTAGTTCTATGAAATCCTCAATGGCATAAGGTATCACATGGTGAAAAGTTTATGAAAATTGAATAATAACAGAAATGGCATCATCACTTGGTGAAAATTTTATGTAAATCAAATAATAATTGTCACTTTTATAGACCAAAAATCTTGAAAAGTGTCTTGTGGAAAATTGTCTATTTCCCTGCAACCGTACAAGTTAGAAACCATTTTGTGGTATCTGTGTGATCGTATGGGTTTATTCTATTTGTTGATTGGAATCAAATATCATAATTTTTAAAAAATTACATATGGGACTCATTTGAATAATATATCTGTTTTGAAGGCTAAAATTACAGTTTTTTTCCAAATGACAGTGAAAATGTTAAATGCTTTGACCTAGTCAGAATTGGCATTAGGCATGAAATGGTAAAACAAAAATGAAAATCGAATGATAATTGACTCTTTTACATGCAAAATAACGAGAAAAGTGCCGCATCAAACATTTCTCGGCAACTGCCAATATTACAAACGAATTTTGACATACATTGTCATAGTATGGATTAATGCTACAGGTTCATAAAAGTGGTCAAGAAATATTTTAAAATATGAAATGCCTGAATGCGTTGTGAGTAGCACATTTTTACGCCCTTTTTCACCTTTAAATCAAAATGGCGCAAATGCAAAACCGAAATAAACCAGCGGCTGCCAGGCAGGATACGCTCACATTTTTGAGAGATGGATAGAGAACAAACTAAAAAGAAAGTGATTTTTCCTACAATCAAGGGCCATAATTCAGGAAATTACATCTCAATATGCGCAAATATCGAAAGGAACCAAGATCTTTGTGTTATAAACTAATATTTCAAGTTTCAAAAAAATCGGATAAAAATTGTGACCTCTATAAGGTCCACAAATTTGATATACCATATTTTTACGCTATTTTAGAACGAATGGCGGCCATTTTGTCTGTCAATTTTGGGCCGATTTTCACGAAATTCAAACTCGGCCGTCCTTAGGGTGTAGCGGTGATATAACAATACGTTTTTTTTTAAATCGGATAAAAATTATGACCTCTATAGGGTCCACAAGCTAAAAATGTGATTTTTCGTACAATCAGGGGCCATAATCCAGGAAGTTACGGACCGATATGCGCAAATATTGAAAGGAACCGAGATCTTCGGGTTATAAACTTCAACAAAATCGGATAAAAATCTTGACATTTCAAGTTTCAATAAAATCGGATAAAAATTTTGACATTTCAAGTTTTGACAAAATCGGATAAAAATTTTGACCTCTATAGGGTCCACAAGCTAAAAACGTGATTTGCGTACAATCAGGGGCCATAATCCATGAAGTTACCCAAGGACCCAAGTTCTTAGGGAGATAAACCTATATTTCAAGTCTCGTTGAAATCGGATAAAAATCAATACACATGTACTTGTTCGTCTCAAAACCTTACACTCTGTGTATCAACCGAATGTCAGTCGAAACGATTATATCTAGGCGTAAACATGGTGTATAAATATAAAATCAATCAGATGATAACTATGGTCTCTAAAGCATCCACAAGATTTTTCAAAATGATCAAGGGCCATAACGCAGGCAGTAATTATCGGAAATCATTGAAAATCAATAGGTTTCTTCGTCTGATGACCATAAATGGATATTAACTTTACCCTCTAGAGCGTCCACAAGAATTTTTGAAGTGATCAAGGACCATAACTCTGGCAGTAATTATCGGAAATCGGTGAATATCAATAGGCTTCTTTGTCTCGTGACCTTAAACACTGTGTATAAATTTAAAGTCAATCGGACATTAACTTTAGCCTCTAAAGCATCCACAAGCAATTGTGAATGCCGGACCGACAGACGGACCGACCGACGGGGGCGGCGACATTATAAAAATAGCTTGTCGGCAATAAGTAGACAGGCTAACGGTTAGAGTCCTGAAAACCCTACTTCTAAATACTATCACAGAGCCAAGATAGTACTAATTGGTAACACGGTTGTGTTTGAAATGAAACGTAAACACCAATTTTAGGTAACATGACACATTAGCTGATTTTGTCTATGTATGGTATAAATGTAGCTGTCTTTATAAAACCGGGTACACATGTCTCATTAGGAACTTTAACTAAATCAAAGGCTTACTTGTCTGAGCGAACTTTTCTAAAGCTACCATAGAATGAAGAATAACAACGGGGTGATTCTTAGGATCCTGAAACAATAATGACTGAAATTTAATACAATGACTAGTCAAAACAATCACAATACTCTCTGAATAGCCAAACGTTTACCAGATTTGGTGAAGGGACACGGGTGGCAACTCAGCAAATAGCTGGCTGACGATTCTGAATTTCGAAGAGTTCATCCTGAGTACTAGTTTTACAAGTTTTTAATAATGCAAAAATGCACAACCCTGTGATTGATACTTATTTATGACTACCGTATATACCCATACAAAGAAACCAAGAACTTTTATGCCATTATCAGTGTCTGGTATGGCTGGAGATGATATGCACACAAGACACTTGAAGAGATTAAAATAAAACTTCTTACTACTGCTTGACTATATATTACAGTATTAATAAGGTGTATCACCTGCCATTTTTTTTCATCTGCTATCATCTCACAATACTCACTAGTGCTAACATTTCCAGTCGTTTTATTGCCAAGGAGACTATATTTGATCAATAATCATTATACAGCTTCCGATGTAATTAAATTGGTCATTTTACAGCGTTTAATTAAGAGATAAATATTACCCTAATCGACCAAGGGTATTAGGGTAATATTTGTCTTATACACTGACATCAATGTTAAATCTATCCTAATTGATTTCAACTATAAGACAATGGTTAAGCCCATATCGGCCCTGGGACGGATATGACAAAATTAAGAAAACAGGTCGTAAGTTGCACATGCATTACATTTTAGTAACCACAAGTTCATAAACTGGCATTCATTTTGTGCAATGTTGTCAAACGATTCGGACGACGAATTGATCCGCGCAAGTCAGTTTGTAGAAAATATGGTTGAAAAAAAATAACGTAGAATTTATGCAGAAAATATTTAACAAGGATTTAATGTACTCGGATATTTCGGATTGTCAGATACAAATGATAAACGCTTTTCAATTTCAAGTGACAAGATCAGTGAATGTGCCAACAATGCTGTGCCCATAAATACCTTACACAGAAATCAATGGGCTGTGAACTTTTTTAACAGTTGGTCAGTGTGGCGGAATAATAAACACGATATTGAGCGAAAAATCCTGTGTTCGCTAGAAGATATGAGTATATAAGATACTTTTTATTTTTTGGATGTCTAGATTCGTCCTGGAAGTAAGCAAAATCAATGGGCTGTGAACTTTTTTAACAGTTGGTCAATGTGGCGGAATAATAAACACGATATTGAGCGAAAAATCCTGTGTTCGCTAGAAGATATGAGTATATAAGATACTTTTTATTTTTTGGATGTCTAGATTCGTCCTGGAAGTAAGCAAAATAAAATAATGAATATTACCCACCAAATTCCGTATTCAGTTATGGGAATAGTTTCACATTTACAGATTGCAAATAAAACTGAGGTGGATATACTACACAATCCATAATTTGAGAGTTTTAGATCCCAACGAATAAAAAAGTTCTCTCTTGAAAAACTTTTGACATTAGGCAATACCAAAAATGCAGTCCAATTACGTCACTCTTCGGGAGAGATCATTTGGTATAAAGGGGTGACACTACAGCATGCCACATCAAAACGCTTTGCAGTACATTTACGACAATTCAAGGTATAAGCTATTACTCTCGGCTCGCTATTGAGTTTGGGCGTTCACACATATAACTGCCCGTATCTCTTTATTTTGTTACCATATTTTTACATTCTAGTAAAATCCCTGTTTATAGATTGGGGGTTTGGATGGCCGAATGGTTAGCACGTGCGTGCTGTATGTACGTGACAAGGAGTAGGATCGCCTGTCCAACCTCGTGGGTTTTCTCCGGTTTCCTCCCACTGCTAAAGACACCTACGCACAAGCGAATTATTGAAATAAAATTAACCATATGTTAGTCCTGAAATAAGCTAGTTTGTGTCGAGTTTATATATGGGTTTATTATCATTGATATTTTCATTGTGAATCTTCAGTTGATATGTTTCATTGCCCAAACACAAACGATCGCGGTTTGTTTTCATTGCAACACGGGGTTGTCAAACCCCATATAACAGCCTCATTGGTTTTGCCCAACAGCCAACACATGACGAAAGCAGTGTTAGGGTGACCCATGCAACAATAATTATCCGCTAAGAAATTCGGTCTTACCTGGAGAGTTGTTGACTGTCCAACGACGAATTTCTGAATGATGACAAAACACCGCCGGGTCCGCTGGGAGCACGTGCGAGTAATTCATCGCAGCAAATATCCACTATATATGGCCATGCACGTGGTATTGTCACAACATCAGATGGTAGATAAAGACAAGTTATAATTTATTTCATCACGCGTTTGTCTTGAGAAATTATTTGATCGCAAACTACGTTCAAAATTCTAAAAATTATTGTCGTTTTTATTTTTCAATTCGCTATTTATCTACAGAGTGTTGTCATTTAGTTTCGGCGATTTCACATCTCCGTAGAACTTGTTTTAGACGGGATAAGAAAAAAAGCCGTAGTTATCTTTTAATTTTTTAAAGGTTTCTAAAATCTTCGTGGAATCGCTAAGACGACTGGTGTCAAGTTAGAAAATAAACAAATTGTTTCGTATCTTAAATTTGCTACCGGGAATTAATCGAAACGCACAATAGTCTCGGTTGACTATATTTACTGTTCGAGACTATTGGCTTTTAGGGTTAAAGGGAAACAAATCTTTTTAATTTGTTTAGGAATTGACCGACTGACTTGTTTTAATTTGTTGTCAACCCATTCAATTAGCAAGCATGACGTCCAACGATGAATTACTATCCAGCATTGGTTTGGGCGATGACTAAGATCTCAGTACAATAACTAATCTTCACTTCGCAAGAATTACAAATAGGCTAGTACTAGGCATTATTAATAAATTTCCGACCAATACGGAGCACCGGTCTATAATTACTGCTTTACATGACGACTGCGTGACGTTTGATAACAAAGGTATTCAAAGTAGGCTGGCCAGACTGAAGACAAAGACTAGAAAGCTGGGTAAAAATAAAAATAATTCTAATAACGCTTTAAAATTATATGACGATTATCTCGACAGTCCTTTTTTCCCCGGGGACAAGACACCATCGGCAGATACCAGCACGGTACATTTAATAAATAGAGAGACACAGACATCTGTCGATGCTGCGACTTTGACCAAATTAAATAGGAAAAATAAGAATTTATTAAGAAGGGTCAATACGTACAAAAAAAAAATTCCGTTTAAAAAATCGACTAAGGAAGACCTCAAAAGAATTGATTCGCGCGAAGGCTAATAATAATAAAGTTTTGGCAAATAAAAAAACTGGTTGTAAGTCCCAACCTCGTGGCAAAGAAGTAATTTTGTATGTCAAAAATCAAAGATACACTCCAGAATGCCATAATTTGGTCATGCAACTAAAAAACCTCAACGTTTCCGAAAAGAACGTCAACGCGGTTATAACCGCATGTTTGGCTGTCGCGGGACTGAAATCTAATCATGCCCCCAAAAGAACTAGAGTTTAAAGAATATCATGTGAGCGCGTGGTGTATCTTTAAAGCATGTTTCGGAAACCTTAAAGTCAGCAAAAAACACCACTTTATATAGGGACGACACTACAAAATTTGGCTCCTAATTCGGTACATATGCACTAACCGCTGACTCGACTCATACGCCAATTATTATTGGTCTTCGGAATATGGCTGAAAAATCTGCGCAAACTACTCTTGCAACTTTAAATGAAATTTTGGCAGATCTTGATGATATAGCTGGGCCCATTAGTAAATCCGTAATTTTCGAAATTAGAAATACGATGTCAGACAGAGCCAGCACCGAAAAGCTTTTTAACAATGTATTTACACAGTACAGATGCAATATTTGTTCTAAATTAGTAGAAAACTGGTCTGATTTATCAGATTCAGAGCGAAATATTCACCTAAATATAAATTATTTCTTTTGCGGTCTTCATCTATTAACTGGTTTGGCCGATAAAAGTGCGTCTGAATTGAAGAAATTTGAGGAAATGTATTTTAAAATGTATTCGGCCCAAACGTTTAAAACCGCTTCTTCATTTTTGCCAAACGAACCTGGGTGTGTTCGATTGGTTCGGACCATCTGTAAAGCCTTTACAAAGGGTGGGGACGAAAAGTCGGGTTGTTATTTGCCTTTTAAGTTGTATCTTAAGTCCCTTGGGATTTCAAAATTACCGCTAACGCCATTTCATGATAACCGGTTTAATATTATTTTCCACATTGTCGCAATTGTAAATTATATGGCCAAGCATATAACAAATTTTCTTGGTGATTTTGGAACAGAAAATAGATTGACCCAAAGCCTATTTTTGGATATTAAAATTCCGTTATTTCATATTGAGTGCCAGGCTTTGGGCTTGATAGATAAATTAATTACAGCTCCACTGTGGCGCATACTAGAAAGCGGCATTAATGCACTTGACATGAAAACTATTTATCAGGAATTACATGATTTTTTGGAAAACCCTAATATTGAAAACTTTGTTGAAGGTAAATCACACCCATTTGAATCTCTAATTAAAATTGAAAATGATTCGGTCCTTGCTAACCTGACGAAATTTGATTCTGATTTAACTTTTAATTCAACCCTGATCCATATTTTGGAAGTCCTCTTTGCTGAGTTTAGAAAGTACATTGCAAAAATTTTACTTGAGTATCGAGATGACTTTAATCCTTCGTGTTCGAGTTCTGCCATGCCTCACAACAAATTACCGGAAACCGTGTTCAGTCATCTCGATAGATTAATCGCGCCCTCGTCTAATATTTTTGGCAACGAAGCGTCCATTTTATGTAAAATGAATAAATCTGATGAATGGCTAAAAAATCTTTCACCTGATAAACGTAATTTGGTCTTAATGGATGCTCAAACGATAACTAAAAATCAACTTTTTAAATTTAGGCAAAGACGGGAAGAAATCGAAAAGAAAAGCTAGCGGTTCTTTTGGCAAAAAAGAATGAATTAGTACAAAAGGGGAAACGTGAGATTAGGAAAAAAGAGCGCCTAACAACAGAAATTATCGGGGTGGGTCT